TTTGCTCTTGCTCAGGCTAGTCTCAAACTCCTGAGCTCAAGCAATCCACCTGCCTCCCCGTCCCAGAGTTGTTTATGTGCAGTGTGACACGGGAATTCTTTAACTACAAACTGCACTGCCCTGTGTTTTGTGTGTGGCCCTGATATTGTGCATGTGGACACATAATGTTTTCATGTTCCTTCTTACCCTCCTGCCTCCCCTTCCCCCAGTAAGGACAGGATCAAAAGCTGAGGACATGACTGCATGGTGCATAATTTGGTGACCCTTATTCAGTACTTATTCAAAGTAGACCTACAGGAGAGGGGAAACCTGCACAGAGAAAGCATGAAATAGGCCCTCAAAGTAGCGTAACTCTTCACTGTCTCAAGTAAATCAGTTTAGGCCAACTTTCATTTTCTATTCATCAAAATAAAAGTCTATTAACTAGGCCACACTTGCTAGAAAGAGCTTTCATATCACACCATCAGCAGCAAATCAAAGAATTTCTTGCAGCCTCACTAATTATCTCCCTACACCCTCTTTTTTCCATCTGGGAAGTTTCCAGTGATGTTTGGACACCTCCTGCAGACTGCCCATCTGGCCCACCCCTCAGTCTGTGTCTGCTCTGATTTTGGTGCTCCCGAGATGGCACTTGGTGTTAGTCTATAGTCTGTGACTACCCTGGGATTGTCATTAAGGCATTTCTAGATTAATTATACCAAACACTTGTACAAGGAAGGTAATAGCCTTCACAGCATCAAATCCTACATGGACTAGACCCTTCAAAATGGAAGAGACCAGAATAGTATGAAACCAGTCATCCCAGAGGATTAAGAAGACTTTACAAGGCCCTTGCTGCCTAGTTTCCTTCATGTCATGAAGATAAAGATATCTGAGCTGTCATTCAAATGTTATCTTAGGCTGGATATGATGGCTCATGTCTGTAATCCCAGGCTGAGGTGGGTGGATCGCTTGAACTCAGTTCAAGACCAGCCTGAGCAAGAGTGAGACCCCATCTCTACTAAAAAGAGAAAAACGAGCTGGGTGGTGGCGGGCAGCTATAGTCCCAGCTACTCAGAAGGCCGAGCCCAAGAGTTTGAGGTTGCTGTGAGCTATGACGCCACAGCCCTCTACCCAGAGTGACCCAGTGAGACCCTATCTCAAAAACAAAATAAAACAAAAAACCACAGAAAGACAAATGTATCTTACAGCATACCTTGCATGAATAACTTGGCACTTCTCTTTAATTATTTCAGCAACACAGGGGCAGAGACCTTTGAGTTTGCCAATAACCTCCTGGAGTTTTCCCCAGCTCCCCTCACTGCTCTCGGCATCATCCTGGAGAGACTAACAGAACAGAGCAGGACTGTAGGTTTCAGAACGGCGTGGCTAATTCCAAAGAGGGCAGCAGTTTCTCAACACTTGCTATTTAACTAACATAAATCCTCAAATCCTAGGGAACTGTGATAAACTATTAGGAATGGGAAGAAGAGACAAACTAAGAAGGTTTGAACTTTAGGTTGAACTTTAAGTACTGAGAGATATTAAGTACCAAGTCATCAGGTGTACTTAAAAAAAAATCCCTCAAACAAAACCTTTAAGTTGTGAAACAATATGGACATGGGAAATGAAGGAAAATTCAACATATGGTATCACACAGTTTTATGATGTGGCTGAAATGAGTCATTCTGGATTTTTTAGTTATTTTTTTAATTATGGTATTTAACATATTATTTTGTAGTTCTCCGTGGAGAACACAAACAGAACTATGTCCATGACTATACTTTCTTCCACTTGAAACTTTCTGCCAATAATGCTCAGTGCCGAGCTCTGGTAAATTTACCTGAAGGCTCTGCACCTGGCATCTCACCGCCTCCAAGGATAACACGACGGGCTTGCTGTGTTCCACGCAGTAGCAGAATCGGATTGTCATCATACTCACTTCATCATAGAGTTTATCATAAATCTTCCACTCCTGTAAAACTGGCTGCATGGAGGTTTTGAGCTGATTGACCTATATGAAAAGTAGAAACACACAGATTTAGAAAACCATTGAGAAGACATGCTTTCTCGTCATTGTTTTCTAAGGAATCTACCAATTTAGGCACTTCAACTCAAGGATATTGGAGAAGGAAGAAAGCACAGGCCAATGAACAAACAAGTATCAGAGAAGATTATGTTTTACAAATGGTGAAAGAAAAAGAGCCCTCTGACCAGAAGGATCAGTGCTGAAAGAGCCCAGCCCTGGGAGAGACAGACAGCCCAAGGAGAGCACAGTGGGTGTGGTTCAGTTACTGCACTAGCTTTCTGACCTTGGGCAAGTTATTGAATTGGTTTCCTCCTGTACAAAACAGAGATAATACATGAAAACACAAAATAGCATCTGTGAAAATAGTTTGAAAACAGTACAATATTATAAACGTAAGATGTTATCTGGCACTTAAGTCTGGTTACTACTCTATGGCAGACACCAAGGAGAGAAACAGTCTCTACCAGAATGATGGGCAAGAGTGAAGGAGGAGGAGGCGCAGTATGGGCACATTTTGTCCACCAGTTTGTCATTTTTTGAGACCAAGTCTCACTATGTCGCCCTCAGTAGAGTGCTGTGGTGTCACAGCTCACAGCAACCTCAAACTCTTGGGCTTAAGTGATTCTCTTGCCTCAGCCTCTTGAGTAGCTGGGACTACAGGCACCCACCACAATGCCCAGCTATTTTTTAATTGCAGTTGTCATTGTTGTTTAGCAGGCCCAGGCTGGGCTCGAACCTGCCAGCCTGGTATATGTGGCCGACACCCCACTCACTGAGCTACAGGCGTTCAGCCCACTAGTTTATCTTGATAATGATGAAAGGAGTAGAAGCATTTTGTTACTTACAATAAAGAATACATAAAAAACTACAGCTCAACAATAAAAAGACAAATAACTAAAAATTGGGCGAGGATGTGAAAAAACATTTCTCCAAAACAAAATATAAAAACAGTCAATAAACACAGGAGAACCACAGTCAGTAGGAAAGTATCAGTCAAAACCACAGTGAGGGCTCGGCGCCTGTGGCTCAAGTGGCTAGGGCACCAGCCACATACACCCAAGGTGGCGGGTTCGAATCCAGCCACCATAATAACAGGCACCGGCCTGTTACTTCCATCTTTACGCTATAATTATTGAAATCATACTACAGGGAACATACACTTTCAGTTCTCTTAGGTCTGAATAGCCAAGGGTTTAGTTATTGGGTCATATGGTAACTCTGACTTTTTGAGGAACTGTCAAATTGTTTTCCACAGTGGCTGTGCCATTTTCTATTCCTATTGGGAATGAAGGGTTTTAGTTTTTCTCCACCCTCACCAGCACTTGCTATTGTCTGACTTTTTGATTATAGCCACCAAAATGGTATCTCACTGTGTTTTTTTTTTTTTTGAGACAGGAGTATGGCGCCGGCCCCATGTGCCAGAGGTGGCGGGTTCAAACCCAGCCCCGGCCAAAAACTGCAAAAAAAAAAAAAAAAAAAAGGTGGAAATAACAGGAAGGTTCATCAGCTGATGAACAGATAAACTGGTTTTATCCATCCAACAGAATACTAGTCAGCCTTAAAAAGAAATGAAGGCTCGGCGCCTGTGGCTCAAGCGGCTAAGGCGCCAGCCACATACACCTAAGGTGGCAGGTTCGAATCCCCAGCCCGGGCCCGCCAAACAACAATGATGGCTGCAACCAAAAAATGGCCGGGTGTTGTGGCGGGCGCCTGTAGTCCCAGCTACTTGGGAGGCTGAGGCAGGAGACTCGCTTGAGCCCAGGAGTTGGAGGTTGCTGTGAGCGTGATGCCATGGCACTCTACCCAGGGGGACAGCTTGAGGCTGCGTCCCCCCCCTCAAAAAAAAAAAAAAGAAATGAAGAATTGCTGCATGCAATACTGATGATCTTGAAAACATCATGGTAAGTGAAAGAAGCCAGTCTCAAAAGCCTATACACCACAGGCTTCCACTTACATGAAATGTTCAGAATGGGAAATCCACAGAGAAAGTAGATCAGTGGTTGCCAGGGACTGAGGAAGGGGGGGACGGGGAGTGCCTGCTCATGAGTATGGGGGTTTCTTTTTGAGCTAAGTAGATAGTAGGGATGTTTACAGACCTATATTTTATATACAATCTTTATATTTATGTATATTATGTGCATATTAAACATCACTGATATGTACATTAAAAGTATGAATTTTATGGCATGATGGATTATACCTCAATTTTTAAAAAGCTGGGTTGAATGGAACGTGAGGACTGTGCAGGCCCACAGGCCATCTTTGTGCATAGGGCAAGTGGAGTTTTGGGTGTAATCATATAGCCCTGCATCCAGACCCCCATTTCCTGCTTAATGACTGTGGGGGCACCAGTATATCCACAGTGGTGTGGAAGCTCCTCAACGTTGGCCCCAAACATGGACAGATAAAAAACAAAGTGGGTCCTAAAACCTCAGTTTCATATTGGCATTTTGTGAGCCAAATGTCTATAAGGGCAGGTGGCTCAGAAAAAGAAACCAAGTCTAAAAGGAAAGAGAATGAAGAAAGGCAGGGAGGGGACTCCTCATAGCTGAGCCTCTCTCTCAGGAACTGGGGCCTCTTTGGGTGGCAGGGATGATGCTGACACAAAGTCCAGTTCCCCTCCACCTCCCGGGCACAGCCACACCAGGCTTTCAGAGCTTTCAAATGCAAAAGGTGGTACAATTCTGACACTCTTAAGGGTGACTCCTTATCCTACTATAGCTTCATGGAGAAGACATGTTATGTGAGGTTTGAGGGCAAGGATAAGAAAACCATTAACTGAACTAGAAACAAGAGGGAGGAACACTTTCAAAACTGGGATCGGCCAGTAGGGGAGCATTTGTTGACAACTGTAAAATAAATAAGCAGGTATTTTCATCCCCATTTTAAGGACCAGAGAATCAATGCGTTGAGAAGTATAAGACCCTTATCAAATACATAATTTGTAAATATTTTCTCCCATTCTGTGGTTTGTCTTTTTTTTGTGTGATGGTGTCCTTTGAAATTCCAAAGTTTTAAATTTGGAGGAATTTCAATTTACCTATTTTTTCTTTGTTTGCTTGGGGTGATAGTTAGGAAACCATTGCCTAACCCAGTTATGAAGATATATGCCTGTTTTCTTCTAAGAGTCTTATAATTTTAGCTCTTGCATATTATGTTTGATCCATTCTGCATTAATTTTTATATACGGTATGAATGCAAGGGTCTAACTTTACTCTTTTGCATGTGGATATCCAGTTGTCCCAGCAACATTTTTTGACACATTCCCCCCCAATTAAATTGTCTTGAAATCATGTTGAAAATCAGTTGGTTTTAAACATAAGGGCCTATTTCCAGACTCTCAATTCTATTTCATTTATCTACATGCTTATCCTTACAACGGTACCACTATCTGCATGTTTTTTCTATGCCTTATCTCATTTAATTTTCCGCCCTCTATGTTCTTATTATATTCCAATTATCTGTTCACATGTATTTCTTCCACTAGCTAGTGAGACCTTTGAGTGACAGATTCATTTATTTTCTGTTTATCTCTGTACCTCAGGTGGTGGGCACCGCACCTACAAGATACAATTACCACACGTCTCAACAAAGATCATCCCTGTTTCTCTCCACCTCTCGCAGGCCCAGAGTTGCCTGTGGATTTCATTTATACAGGTTATTTCCAATGTGCTCTTGGAATAACTGGTTGAAAGTAGATTTTATGAGCTGATCAAAAACCCACAGTGAGGATTCTCTAGTAACTCCAGGCACATCTATAACTGGCTAGCATTTAGGGTTTCTCCTTTTGCTGTGGGGAAACGTCAAGGTTGCAATGTCTAAAGATGCCTGTTCTTCCTCTCTTTGGGTTTTCTCCTCCCAGAAGGGTTAAGGACAGACTTTGACATGCCTTTCCTAAGATTACCAAACTTCCATATTCTCTTTCCTTTTACATTCTTGGTACACTGAACTGTGTTCCTTCCCGCCTGAACTGACTATGCTGCAGCTCACCGAGGTTACGTGGTGCAGGGCCAGGCCCCGCCTAGGGCACTTTCCTGTATACCAGACACTGCTTCATGGCTGCTCCCGCAGAGCTCACCAGGAAACAATGCCAGATGCTCTAATAGGTTCAGGGGATGAAGACATTTATGTCTGCATGAATACATTAGACACAACAAAGATGACAAAGTGGATTTCCAGCCTGTCACTGATGTTGGAGCTGGTGGCATTGACAAAAAAATGGGAGAGTTGAAATGCTTCTCCTTCATCATTTTCCTCAGCAACTTTTCAGATTTTGGCATAAGAGAGTCTCCATGATGAAACAATGACACCAAGAATGACAACAAATGAGACAGAAGAGGAATATGTGAGAAGTAGCCTGACTGTGATGAATTCTGGTACCTGAATGATGACGCTGCTTCTCTTTTGAAATAACTCATCAATTCTAGATGCCATATCTTCTAACAAAGGCATTGTCCCACTCTCCAAAGACAGATAACTTTGTCTCAACTCGTCCAGTGCTCTGGATTTAATGGCAAGCTGATTTTCTATATCCTAGGAGAGCAAGAGTAGAAGGTTTTCAAATGTACCATGTAACAAAACAGCAAGGTGTAAGAGAAGTTCACTCTTTTCAAGTAAAAATACCATTAGTAAGTATATAATTAAACAGCATTACATCAAGGACATTTTAATCATAATATACTTAATTCAATTAGATATTACAAGGCTCTCCATTTAGGGGAGTTTAAGCCACAAGTCCTATCATCATGGTACAGGAGAAAAGAATCGAGGACACCTGGTCCGCATTCCACATCTGCCCTGCAGGGGCTCTGTGACCAGGTGCAGGTCATTAAATCCTGAGTCTCCATTTTCTTATCTGGAAAACAGTGATGATACCCCACACTGTGCAGAACTTAGAACTCAAAGGGAAGCACGAGTAGGAAGGTGCTTTGAAACCAAAAAGCATCACATAAAAGACAGATGAATAATTTTTGGAAGTTCAGTCAATACGTTTAACTTTAATATTTTTTTATATGCCTTAGTTTATTAACTTACTCATAAGAGATATCCCAATCTGGTCCACTCTTAAATCTAGTTTTCAAAAAAATTTTTAGGAAACTATAGTAGCCCTTTATGACAAAGACAACTTACAGGGCCAGCGGTCAATAGGCCACTCTTCACAGATGGACTGTCAGAGCCGCATACTGGCACTTCTCAGGACTGGGGTGAGAATCCAATTTAGAAAAAGTTTAAGATTTTTTTTTAAATTATCAAAGAATTATAAGCTCCTGACAGAAAATGTAGAAAATGAAGATCTCTGGCGTTCAGAAAGATTCATCTTGAATTCCTCTTGCACCTCCTGATTTGTAAATCTGGGATGCATTTATGCACACTTTCTTTCTTTCTGTCTTTTTTTTTTTTAGAGACAGTCTCACTTTGTCGCCCTCAGTAGAGTGTGGGGGTGTCACAGCTCACAGCAACCTCCAGCTCTTGGGCTTAGGTGATTTTCTTGCCTCAGCCTGCTGAGTAGTTGGGACAACAGGCGCCCACCACAACGCCCAGCTATTTTCTTTATTGCAGTTTAGCCAAGGCAGGGTTTGAACCTGCCACCCTCGGTATATGGGGCCTGCGCCCTACTCACTGAGCCATAGGCGCTGCCCCTGGGCACACTTTCTTTAGCACTATATTTCCATCCGGAATGCCTGTGTTTTGAAGTATGGTCTCAAGTTAACGGCATTTTGCTCAAAAATCATCTCTCTTTTTTCTTTTTTGAGGCAGAGTCTTGCTCTGTCATCCAGGCTAGAGTGCCATAGCACCAGCCTCACTCCCAGCAACCCCAAACTCCTGGTTTCAAGTGATTTTCTTGCCTCAGGCTCCCAAGTCGCTGGGACTACAGGTACCTGCTGCAAGGCCCAGGTAGTTTTTCTATTTTTAGTAGAGACAGGGTCTTGCTCTTGCTCAGGCTGGTCTCCAACTCTTGAGCTCAGGCACTCCACCTGCCTCAGCCTCCCTGAGTGCTAGGACTGCAGGAGTGAGTGACGACACCCAGCTCCAAATTTTGTTTCTTGAAGATTATTTTTCACAAGAAAGTCAGTTAAAAAGAAATTAATCCTTCGTAAGAATCACTGCATGGTCCGTAAGGAAGGAGGAACATGAGTGCCTTGTAGGCACATGCCTGCTGGGCAGATGGCTGGGTCTGCAGCCTGGCGAGGGATGACCTAAAATACAGTCTAGCAAAACTGTCATATGACCACATGCCAGGAGCCTTCGGGTCACTCCTGAAATGCAGAAATCACAAACTTTAAAATTAATAAACATCAAGGGGACTCTTGGACTGGGAAGTGGAAAGCGGGTAGGGAGCTGTTCCAAAAGAAATAAGTTGGGGCTTGTGTGGTGGCTCACACCTATAATCCTAGCACTTGGGGAAGCCGAGGCTGGCAGATAGCTCGAGCACAGAAGTTAGAGACCAGCTTGAACAAGAGTGAGATCCCATATCTAAAAAATAGCCAGGCGTCATGGCAGGTACCTATAGTCCAGCTGCTGGGGAGGCTGAGGCAAGAAACCAGGAGTTTGGGGTTGCTGGGAGTTTGGGATCACACGAGCCCAAGAGTTTGAGGTTGCTGTGAGTTATGAAACCATAGCACTCTACTGAGGGTAACAAAGTGAGAATCTGTCTCAAAAAACCAAACAATACAAAAGAAACAGGTAACCAGGGTTGGGAGCAGGGATGGATGAGCAGAGGATAGAGCTGAAGGCGCCTTCCACAATGTGACTCTTCCAGGGGTGTCCAACCTCTTTTCTTCTCTGCAGTACACATTAAATACATAAATACCAATGAAAGCTGATGACTAAAAACCAAAATTCCCATGTATAATTTTCATGACATCCACCACCACAGATAGGCAAAAAGTCCTCACACAATCTGCATGTGGCCCAAGGGCCACAGGCACCCCTGTGAGTGGAGCCCTGTTGAGCCTGGTTACTTTAACATATTAATAGAAAGTCTCCAACTGTAATAAAATCTATCTGTAGGTGCACTGTGGAGTCACTGCTAACATGTGAATCCCTCTGTGAAACATTTGTATGGATTGGCTGCAATAGCACTCTGCAATGAAACAGCTCCTCTGGGCAGCCTTTGCGGCTGAGACTCAGGTAGCTGCACCCATCCGTCTCTGCTGCCCTCACTCGCGCACCCTGACTGCCCTACTTGTTACTATGTTCCCTCTAGTATCATTTGAATCTAACTTTCTTCCTTCACAAAGTTATACTTTAAGACACTTTAAGAACATTGAATCAGCCTCCCTTCTTTGCGTTTATGAAATAATCTTCCCTATAGGCTCAACAAAGTAGAGATTTCTAAAAACACTTATTTACCAACAAGTTGTCATATTTCCTCCATAATGTAAACAAACTGATGAGAAAGGACCAGTCAGCAGAGAGTTAGAGGGAAGTTACAACACAAAAAATGGTGGCAGAAACCACACCCGGGGGCAATAACAGCCTGTGAGCACACAGTGGAGCTGTTCTTACTGCTTTTTCTCCTCAGAATGACACTAGGTCAGTGCTGGGGTCCTGTCCTCCAACCACGTTCCACTGAGGCCTAATAGTACCTTTAATGCTTCCCAACTCCTACTTCATTGGCAAAATAATTCTTACTTAAATCCCAATTTGCTATATACAAAATAGGTTGAAATAAAGAAATCTTTTGCTAATTTAAGGAGAGTCACTAGAGTTTACAAGTCTCCCTTTGCTATTCTGTGAGGACCAGTGTTAACTATTTTTAAAATAGCTAAATTCTGATATTACCACAAACACATTTTTTTTTTTGAGACAGTCTTACTTTGTCACCCTTGGTAAAGTGTGCTATGGCGTCATAGTTCACGGTAACCTCAAATTCTTGAGCTCAAGCGATCCTCTTTGCTTCAACCTCCCAAATAGCTGGGAGGGACTCACTCTTGCTCAGGCTGGTCTTGAACTCCTGAGCTCAGGCAATCTACCTGCCTCAGAGTCCCAGAGTGCTAGGATTACAAGTGTGAGCCACTGAGCCTGGCCACAAACATATTTCTATCAGAAACTGTGGTTGTTTAAACTATAGGTGGGGTGGCTCACACTTGTAATCCTAGCACTCTGGGATGCTGAGATGGGAGGATCCCTTGAGATCAGGAGTTTGAGACTGGCCTCAGCAAAAGTGAGACCCCTTTTCTACTAAAAATAGAAAAATTAGCTGGGCATTGTGGTGGATGCCTGTAGTCCTGGATCCTCGGGAGGCTGAGGCAGAAGAATTGCTTGAGTCTAGGAGTTTGAGGTTGTTGTGAACTAGGCTGAGGCCATAGCACTCTAGCCTGGGTCACAAAGTGAGACTGTCTCAAAAAATAAAAACTAAGTATGGAAGTATTGAACTTAAGTAATTAATAACCTCATCTCACATCTCCTTACTCTAGTCAACCACGAAATTTTCCTTGATAATTATAATATGCTAAATTTGGCCTTTTTCTAGTCATCAAGGACTTTCAGAAACGCTTCAGAAGATTTTAAACCCTACCTGTCTTAATGCTTCATTAGCTCTGATCCTTAAGCCGCTTTCACAAGCTTCTCTGAACTGAAAGATTCTACCCTGGGATAAGTCATCAAATAAACATCTACCATGTTATTTCCTATAAGCAGTGAGTAGTGAAGACAAAGAGAGGGAGCATCGCAAGGACAAAGTGACTGGGCAAAGCACAGCTGAGCAAACAAAGGGCACAGACAACACCCTTCAGCCTGACCAGGATGGGACAGCAGGCCCCGGGGACAAGTGCTCCTTTTAAAACATAATACACAATAGGTAGAAGGCAATCATTTCCCTCTGATGAAACAAAGAATGAAATACTAAAAAATCATGAAAACTACAGAGAAGTTTAGCGAATGTTGGGCAAAATAATGAAACACATGAAAACTAAAAAGCAGCTAAAATCAAAATTCTCTCTGAATACTTTTCTTCCTCAGGAGTTCCAGGTCAAACCTCTTAAAAGCAACAATACTGTAACCATGAAAATAAAATGGTACTCTGCAGTTCTGCAACCCCCTGGGAAATCTACTAGTAGGTAAATACAGGGGAGTGGGTGGTCTCTCCAGAAACCAAAGCGACCTATCTTCCTCCTTGGGGCCAGACTGGTGACCTGTGGCTGAAGGTGGCACCTGGGACAGGACGTAGGTCTCCTCACCTGACAATCCAGCAGCAGCTTCTGGACTGAGACCACACTTTCAGGTTTTTGTAATGTTTTCAATCTCTCTTCTTGTGCTTCCAGCCAGTTGTTCAAAATCTGGATCTTATTCTCATTCTCTGTGATACTCTCCAAAAGTTGTTCTAAATGTTGTATCTATGAGGGATGAATAAAAAAATTCTTAAAAAATTAATGAATAAAAATGATATTTTAAACCACATGCTTCAAAATGTAAATGCTATTTATTTATTTTTAATTTTTAAATTTTTTCTTATTTATTTATGTTTCACTAGTCAAGTGAAGCAGTGGGAGTGGAGAAGGAACAAAGGAATCTGTAACGTGATGTTATTTTTAAAAGGATAATTTTGTTTCTTCTCAAATTTCTAATATGTTACCTAATAGGCTGCTCTGATAATTTCTGAAATAAAGATTTATAGATCAGAAAGTAGTATTAAAGCTTCTCTTTAAAGTGAAAGCTCATCTGCTTACCAGTTTCTGACCTTTATAATATCTGGACAAAATAAAGTCATGTTGCTAACATTCAATATTTTTTCACTGTGTTACCTATTAATGTATGCAAAGCATACATTAATTTCTTTTCTTGTCCCAGACTCTTCCTTAGAGTTGCTTAAAATTTTCTGTCAATACCAATGTCACAAATCATTACCTTAATAATCATTGCCAAAAATAAAAACCATTGCATTCAATGTCTGTGATTTCTCTCACTTCTAATATAATTTTTATTGGGCTAGAAACACAGTATATATAATTTTTTTTTCTTTTTAATGACAGGGTCTTGCTCTGTCTCCCCAGCTAGAGTGCAGTGGTGTCTTCATAGCTCATAGCAACCTCAGACTCCTGGGCTCCTTGATCCTCCTGCTTCAAGATGGTAGCTGGGACTACTGTTGCTTATTACCATACCAGGCTAATATTTCTGGTTTTTGTAAAGACAGGGTCTCACTTTTACTAAGGCTGGTCTGGAACACCTGGCCTCAAGTGATCCTCTTGCCTCAGCCTCCCTAGAGTGCTAGAAGTACAGGCATGAGCCACTGCACCTAGTCTCATATAAATTTTTATATTCTTTTTTTTGAGGTACAGTATCACTGTGTTGCCCTCGGTAGAGTGCCATGGCATCACAGCTCACAGCAACCTCAAACTCTTGGGCTTAAGTGATTCTCTCGCCTCAGCCTCCCAAGTAGCTGGGACTACAGGCGCCTGCCACAAAACCTGGCTATTTTTTGGTTGTAGTTGTCATTGTTGTTTGGCAGGCCCGGGCTGGGTTTGAACCTGTCAGCTCCAGTGTATGTGGCAGGTGACAAGTCAAATTTTTATATTTTTTATTTCAATATGTTATAAACATTCACTGTGTTGTGATAATACTAATACTAATTTTATAAGGCTTCTTAATACTACATCAAATGAACACAGTATCATTTAATTATTTCTCTATAGCTGGAAATTAAAGCATTCTACATTTTCACCTATATAAATTATTTTGACCTGAACAGTTTCCACACAGCCCTTTTCTTTTTTGAAGGACTACTTCCTTAAATGTGTAAGAGGAGTGATCTCCTTGGTTATGATGTAAGAGGATTATAGTGGTTCTTTAAATGCTTTCCAAATGAGTGTTTAAGTCATTATCAGCAATGTATGTGACAGCTCTCAGCATTACCCTTATCTTAGAAAATTTTTCTAATTTAATAAGTACATGTTACACAATGTTTATTTTGAATATCTGATAACTGAAATTGATATCTTTCCAGGTTTATTTGAGAACTATAATTTCCTCTTTTGTGAACTATCTGTGTTCTCTGTCCATTAATGGACTTGAATCTTAATTGTATAAATCCATTGGTATGCATTCCCTACAAAGTAAACGAATCAACCAATTGTCAGTGCCAACATATATCAGTATTAAATATTTCTTTAGGTATAAGTTTTTCTAATCTTTTCAAGAGTTGTGGAGTGGAAAATCTCCCAAAAGCCACATGTATTTTTTCTGCCTTTTAATAATGTTTTCAAGACTGAAATAGCTTTGTCCCTTCTGAGTATCTGCTTTCACAGAAAACATGAAAATCTCTGGTCATTTAGTAGGCTGACATAATACTTGACACCTTCTGAAATAAAATTTCTCCTCTTCACTTACCTAATTCAATTTCCCTCTAATTAATCCCAATGTAAAAGCTATTGCATGCTCTGTTATATGCATCAGTGGAGAATGCTAAAACACAGGACATAAAAGTTCTACAGTGGAGATGACTGGGCCTAACTGTAAATCAGCCATCTGAATTTGTTTTTGGATTTTCCAGAAAGTGGTATTTTGCAAAGGCCAAAGCCCACATCCAGCTGACACCTAGGAGCGCACCTTCCTGGTCAGTGCTCCGTGTACCCGGTGCCACTGGCGGTTCATCTCCCCCAGGTGCTCTGCAAACTCTGTCCTCTCATACCGCTTGCTTTCGACATCACAGGTGCTTAACTGAAGTAGGGACTGGTTAACGAAGTCAACTATCCACTGTTTATAGTCCATTTCCATTCTGACCGCCTAAAACAAACAAACAAACAACAAAAAAACCAAGCAAAATGAAATACCCAAAGCCCCAATGGAAGCCGGTCAGATGAGCTGGATTTCCCTTTGTACACTGGAGGGGGCACCACCCTTTCAGCCAATAACCAAAGGGCAGCTGTCATGGGTTCCTTCCACCTTCCCCAACCCCATAAGTCTACTTTATTCGAGTGGAGATTCTTTTGGGGAATTCCATGTTCCTGGGAACAGAGGGTCAAACAGGCTGAAAAGTCACAGCAATAAATATTAGTCCCAAATCTGCACCCAGGGCCCAACAAAGGGCTCCTAGAAGGGGCTGCTTGAGAGCTGTGCTGGAATCCTGGGCCATGCTAAGGGCTCATGGAAACATGAAGTTAAGGCCCTCCCAGGACCCAGGAGGCAGCATCTCTTCCTTTGGGGACAGTCTAGGCCTCCCAGGGTAGTTTGGGAGACTTTAAGTTCCACAGCGATCCTAACCCCACCCAGGGCCAACCATGAGTTGAGTTTGATCCTACCAAGTTCTGGCACCTCTTTTAGAGACATTTGGGGGCAAACCATGTGATATGTGCTAGGTTACCTGAGCCTACAATGATATACACACATGTAGACCTTTTAAAGATTCTACTGCTCGCTGAAGTTAGGATGTAGTGGTCTATATAAAAACAAAATCCTTTCTAACATCATGCTTGGCTTGGTGAAGCCACTCAGCTGCCTACCAGAAGCTGGCTCTCTCAGCCCGTGAGGTCTGAAGGCAGCAATCAAACTCGTCATTTGTCTCTGTATTCATGGTGTCCAAAACACTGCCTGGCACACAGTAGATGTTTGTGTGTGGCTTGTTAAATGTTAATTAAATCTACTTAAAATTAAACATCACAGAGAAGGCCACATTCATAGCTATTCGTAGGATATCAATGTTTTCTCACTCATTCTTTTACTAAAAGAACATTTAGTAACACCTGTTGGGTGCCAGGTATTGTCCTAGGTGAAGGACAGCTCCTGCTCTCACACAAGGCAAGGAGATAGGCAAGAAAACAAATAATTGTAATACATGTGCTCGGAAATACTGATTCATGGAGACCTCTGATTCCTCAAAGTCTCCTGGTGGGAAAAATTAGGAGTGGATTTCCAAATGAGGAGATACTTGAACTGACTCTTGAAGGATGACTAAGAGGATTTATTTAGCTAAACATGGGGTACAGGCATTCCAGGCCAAAGGCACAGATGAGCATCGCATGAGGGAGAACACCAGAACCACCTGGGGTTGAAAATCTTGTCTAGTCAGAATCCAAGGCTTACATGGGGGAATGAAGAGATGAGGCTGGGAGGTAAGGAGCGGTTAGTCTGTTAAGCGCTTGGGCTGTCCTGCAGTGACTGGAGCCACAAAGGAATTTAAGTGGAAAAAGAGCAGGGATACTAGCTCACCTCTTTAGAATCTGCCACCACCCCATTTCTTACCCTTAGGATTAGTTTTTCTACATTATATCCTACACGTCTATGTGTTTGTTTAGCATTTACCCTCCGACTAATGATTTGCCTTCTTATTTAATGGAAAAACTGTTATTACTTGTGTTTAATTACCTTGTGCTTCTGAAGAAGATTTTTAACTTGAGACACAGAACCTGGAGAACACACAGAGTCTGCGGTCTGCTGCTCCACACTGTTCATCCAGCTAATCATTTCTGTGATAGCTTCACGAGACGGCAATTTCTCCATCTGAAGCTACAAGAACAAAATGATTCCCATTTAATTACCTGCAGTTAACAAAATGAATCAGGGCATCACTAAAGATGATAATCTAGTTTGATAAAAGGTCTTGCTTCATAATTATGCAGGCTACTCACAAAAACAAACCCAGCATTCAAGTTGAGAATAAATGACCCCAAAACAATGATAATGACCTTCACACAAACTAACAAAGTGGCACAGATAAACTGAGAAATAATGTAATTAAGTCTGATTTCTCTCTTAAAAAAGATCCCATGGGAGGAGAGTCCAGTAATTAAGACCTATATTCAGTGGTGCCAGAGAAAAATAGGCAGTGTCAATGAAAATTATTGAGTCAGAGAAATAATTTCAAAAGAGTTGTGAGCTAACAAGTGAATCCTAATTCAAATGCTAGGTTTTTAAATACTTACCTGGTGAAGTTTCTCTTGAATATCTGGAAGTTGAGTGATGAGCATTGTCCATTTTTGTTCAAACTGTGCTGAAGATGCTCTTAGTGTAGCTGTATCAGCTTCTTTAAGGTGAAGAAGTTGGTTCCCAGTACTTATAACAACAGTCTTCAAGGAGGACTTTTCATCAACTTCCTTTGAAAACTCCTAAAGGAAACAGTTTTAAAATTTAGAAACTTTTAAAATTTAATGTAGCACAGAGTAACTAAGATTCAGAGTAACAGTCTATAGAGTGTAAAACTAAACATAGCAAATATGTAAATACGTGTGTATATACACACACATACTCCTTTTCTTACCAAGTGTCAGGCATTATTCCAGGCCTTAGATACACATCTAGTAGGGAACAGAAGAGATGGATTCATGCCCTTCAAGAAGCTTATAACCTCATGGATTTAATATGTGTAAAAATAGACAAGTCATTATTCCAATGTAAATTTTATAAGGAACTATGAAAGCTAACACAAAGCTGGTATTGAATGAACTATTTGCAACAAATTTTTAATTACATACTTGAAATATTTCCTATGTATATGTTTTCAAGTATATTTTAAAAATACTTACATTTTATTTATTTATTCATTTATTTACTTTTAAGACAGAGCCTCAAGCTGTCACCCTGGGTAGAGTGCCAGGGTGTCACAACTCACAGCAACCTCCAACTCCTGGGTTCAAGCAATTCTCCTGCCTCTGCCTCCCTAGTAGCTGGGATTACAGGCACCTGCCATAATCCCCGGCTATTTTTTGGTTATAGTTGTCATTGTTGTTTGGCAGGCCCGGGCTGGATTCTAACCCACCAGCTTTGGTGTATGTGGCTGGTGCCCTAGCCGCTGAGCTATAGGCGCTGAGCCAATACTCACATTTTAATACCAAATTTAGTAACTATAGATACTACCATAGCTACAAACTATGAAAAATGGAAAAAAAGAGAAAAGGTTAAGTGTAGGAATGTCCAACCCACTGGCTGCATGCAGATTATTTGAGGGCTGTTTTGCTTATCTGTGGTGTCAGATACCATGAAAAGTATGCACAGACCTTTTCTTTAGCTCATCAGCTTTCACTACTGTTTATGTATTTAATGTGTGGCCCAAGACAACTCTTTTGCATCCAATGTGCAGATAAAAAAAGGTGGGACACCCCTGAACTAAGGGGAAAAGGCTGGAAGGATTCATGAGTACAAATTCATATTACAAAAGTAATACTGCTCCCCTAATAAAATCTTCAAACAATATAACAAAATGTTTTTAGTAGACATACTAATTTTGTATTCTTTGATTTAAAAACCATACATTTATTAACTTTAACATTTATATATAAATAATCCTATAAGGCTGTTTTTTTGGGGGGGTATTTTTTGCATTTGCACATGTCACAGCAAGTTTTTGGTTTATAAAAACATGTATATTTTTTGTTTTTGTTTTTTTGCAGTTTTTGTCCAGGGCTGGGTTTGAACCTGCCACCTTTGGCATATGGAGCTGGCGCCCTACTCCTTTGAGCCACAGGCCGCCACCCAAAACATATATGTATTTTATAAGGTTAATTAAAAATATACTTTATCATTGTAAATGTACAAAGGAACAATATAAAAAAATAGCTCTAGGTTTGAAGAATGTTATTGAAGAATGGGCTGTTATTAGCCCTTGTCTTATCCACAAATAAATACACATGTATGGAAATACCACATTAACAATGATACTTTTTCTTTGATATTTATTTTTGACCAAAAATTACCTAGCATGTTCTATTACAACTTACAAAAAAATTATTTATGTTGCTTCTGATTGTATCCAAGTCCTGGGACACATTGAGGGACTGTTCTTTCCAGTAGTTCAGAGTTTGCTGAGATGACTCCAACCACTTGGTTAACTCATCTGAATCTCTGTTGTAACTAATAGGAGCCAAGTGATAGAAAAAGGAAATTAGAACAGTACTCTGATAACAAACATTATTAGCATATTTTCTTATTTTATGGTTTTGTGTGTGGCCAGCCCTAACACTCAGAAAATCATGACATTTATAAAGTTTCTATCATGTAAAAAAAAAAAAAGTTTCTATCATGTTTTATACCATGCCCAAATCTGATGCACTTGGCATTTTCTAGGACTCTCTATCATGGCTGATTGAGAATAAAGAGGCATTTTAAAGTCTAAACTTTTAAAAATTTCTTATTATACACAAAAGTATACCCATGAGTAAGGACTGAGATTATTTTTATTACCAGATGTTCTCTATAATCTTTTTAGTAAATATATAACCAGCATTTCTGTAAATTACATAAAAGAAAACTACTGTTGGCTGATACCAACATAATCGTCTAAGGTAATGAAAACACCCAAACAAAATGCTGTCCTTCTAGTAACGTTTAAACTTCATTAGATTAAGAGGCAGGGATGAGAATGAGGTTTAAACATTCTGTGTTCTCCACCTTCTTCAAGTAGTTTAAGATTATAGCAACTACACAAAATAAATTCTCTGAAGAACTTGAAAGACTTTTTCAAACTATTCCGTTCACTAAAACCATTTCATTTCTTTTAAATTTTAAAATGTTTAGAAGGCAGGAAGAAACAGCATCATGGTATAAGGTAACATTTGCATTATTTTATAACATAAATCATTTCCAAAGAAATGTGGAAGTGATTCCCAGCAAACTGATTACGTATTATCTGTGTCTAGCAAATCAGTATTAGAGACTATAGATCCTGTTAGCCCAGAAGATGGGCCAAATTGCTTTAGGTTGTTTGAGAAAAAAACAGTACAATAGGAGGCCAGCATGGAAAATGTAGCTGACAGCAGAATCCCTCTGAGGTCTTTTTGCACAGCAAACCCTATGGAGACAGACCTGAGCAGATGCTTGAGAAGTGTTTGCAGTCTGTGGAGTTCATGGTCAATTTTCTTGTTCAGAGACAACCACTGCTCTTCCAGTTGTGCAATCTGGCCCTCTAATTCAGGACAGCTCACAGACGCCACCAGCTGTTTGCCTTCATTCAGAGTTTGGCAAAGCCGGGCATGCTTTCCATGAATGTTTCTTTTTATTTGCTAATAAAAGTCACAGAATGAATGAATGAATTAAAAAAATAAAGTCTGCCAATCTATTTGCAAATATTTCATTAAAAACCTTGATTAGTGCCTACTGAGGAGACATTAACATATTCCCAGTCTTCAGGACTGGTGCCTGACGCAGACCAGATTGACTGGTCACCTGTCATGATGAGTCTCCAAACACTGCATTTCAATGCACAGATTCAATGCTATAGACATATTGCATGTAAAAAAACCCCCCAAGCTTAAAAAACTGAGATCTGATAGTTAATACCTCCATCTAACGTCAAAAGCAAAAAAATGAGCTGACATTTCAGGTGCCAATGGATTTTTTTTTTTTTGGAGACAGAGTTTCACTATGTCGCCCTTGGTAGAGTGCTGTGGCATCACAGCTCACAGCAACCTCAAACTCTTGACCTAAAGTGATTCTCTTGCCTCAGCTTCCTAAGTAGCTGGGTCTACAGGTACCCACCACAATTCTTGGCTATTTTTTTGTTGCAGTTGTCATGTTGTTTAGCTGGCCTGGGCCAGACTCAAACCCTGCAACCTCAGTGTATATAGCTGGCGCTGTAACCACTGAGCTACGGGTGCTGAGCCTTGCAGATGGATTTTGTGCAACCTAAAGATTATTTTGAAAATCAGGAAATCTGATACAGAGATTAGGTTTTCCTGTGTTTCTGGGACACTGGAAGATCTAGCCACCGCTGGGTCTGTATTCTCACGTGGCAAAGGAAGGCTGGAGCCCAGCGGCAGGGGCTCTCTCCAGGAGAGCCCACTTTCTTTACCACCTGGCTGCAGACCCAGCCAGTGTTCCTTACATCTGTTCTCCTGCCTGGCCCTCGAGAGCATTTCAGATTGTGACCCAGACATGAAGGGGATAAATAAGAAAGTATTTCTCCATTATCCCCTAAATGCAAATGCTGGGGGTGGTGGGGACCCATTTGTAGCTTCTTCTGAATGTAAAGAAGCAGGAGGGAGAAAAAAAGAACTTCAGGAGAATAAATTTAAAAAGCACATCATTAATCCAACCTTGTGTAAAGAAAAATAAGATTCTTCATAGCTGTGAATACAATGACCACTTCAAGAAAGGCCTGTCTAAAGACCCTTATCTTCCACAGTTGGGTTCAGTTAATGCCATTTACCCTGACAGCTGTTGAAATAAATTATTACCAAAATAGAAGTTTTCCTATTTTCCAATTAACTTAAGCCTTTTTTAAAATTACCCCCAAATTGTACTTCCTTTTTACCATTCCTATTGCCTCTTCCCTCTGCCTCAGCCTATGGGCTAGAATGAAATGTCCGACATCAGTATTTTTAAAAAATTCCTAATTTTCTAAGTCCTTAAGTGTCAGACACATCATCTTCGTAACATCCCTGAAAGTTTTAATTCCTCCATTTGATACTTGGGAGAGATTCTGTGTGGTGGTCACTCAGCCTGGAGGAGCCCAGCCAGCATTTGAAAGAGAGTTTGTTTGACTTCAAAGGTCACACAACTGACCCGTAGGTTCCATGACCCACAGCCATCTACTCACTGATAGAGGTGCTGACATCAGTCAGACACACAAAAACCTCTCCAAGACTCCAACTGAGAATGGCCCATGGAAGTTTATCCATGAGATCTTTAGGAGATAGGTCTTCTTTTATTTTGACAAATTTATTATTATTATTATTTTAGAGTATTCAGAGTTTATTGAAAGACACAAAAAAGCTCTATAAAGTTAAGATACGGCTCAACAGTAGAAGGGTGGTGAAAAGGCTCCCCACCCCCTACTCAGATTTCTACTTCTTATACCTTAAAGCTACCTTTATCTAGTGTGATACTCTTTATAAATCTTTATTTACCCTCTTTCCTGCTCCTCATGTATTATCGGACAAAGAGGGTCCAGCTACCTATCACTGCCATTCAATACACAGAAATGAAAATACACAGTGAGAACAAGATAGAGTCTGTCAGGCCAGGGCAGATGCCACACAGCTAGCCCAGTTGGTCCAGGTCCCACTTGAACCTCACCCCCCCGTCTCCCACCACCACTGTCCTGCAAACTCAGTTCCAACCCCAAATATGCCTATCCTGAGTGGTCCAAGTGGACTGATCTAGGAGATTAACCTTTGAATTAGAATGCTGCCCTGGACTGTGGGTCATGCCAGTGACTGTCTACCATGGGCCATGGGTTCTGCAATTACTATTTAAGATAAGGGTCAATATGGTCTCCATTCTGAACCCAAATGTATAAAACAATAACTTTGGAGATGGAAGAACAGAAGAGTCCTGGAAAGGTCACCCCTACTGTTCCTCAGAATCTGGACCCTCAGACAAACAAGGTTTTGTGGACCCATCCCTGTCTAGCACATTTGCTGTCAGTGACAGGTGGCCAGATCCTCTTTGTCTGGTAACAGACCCTACCTGTCAGAAGGCCAGCAACTCTGGAGAACAGTGAGAGTGGCCTCCCGAAGACTGCCCCACTTCCCTACCTCCAAAGTCACAGTTTCATACATAAAAGTCCAAAGTAAAAATCATACCAACTCCCATCCCAAACAATAACTGACAACAGTCAGCATTATCCGTGACCCAAAACAACAACCCAATCCAAAAGTCAACCTTCCCAATCAGTTATCCTAAACTACTCAAGATAAACACTTCTCAGTTAAAGCTAAATTCAGAAAAGAGCAAGAATGGGAGACATGAGGCAAAGGCCACGCAGGGCCCAAACCAACCACACCAGCTATGCCGTCTCAGCCCTGGCCTGAGGAACTCCATCCCACTCTCACTACACAAGCCCTCACTTCCCACTCCTGTTAATACATTTCATATCTATGAAATATATATATTTTTTAATTTCAGGTTAATGTGAGGGTACAACCAACCAGGTCAAAATATTTGATTTTGTTAGGTAGAGACCCTCTTGTGGTTATGTCTCACACTCAAAAGGTGCGCCAAAGTTTTGCAAATTTATTTAAAGGTCTTAGAACAATTCTTTGTATCTTTACTTACTCAAATGTCATAGGCTCATGTTCACATTTTATTTATTTATTTAAGACAGAGTCTCACTTTGTCACCCTTGGTGGAGTGCTGTGGCATTCTAGCTCACAGCAACCTCAAATTCCTAGGCTCAAGCAATCTCCTTGCCTTAGCCTCTCTAGTAGCTGGGCCTATAGGTATAGGATGGGGTCTTGCTATTGCTCAGGTTGGTCTTGAACTTCAGGCAGTCCACCTGCCTTGGCCTTTCAGAGTACTAGGATTATAGGCATGAGCCACCACACCCAGCTTCATACTCATATTTTAAAGGATGTAGTCGCTTTGGTAGGAAAAAATCAGGCTTATATTAGGTTGGCTAAGAATTAGATTGTTTCTTAATATAATGATTCTTTAAAAAACTATCTGTTTTCAATTATATTCTTTCATCTGTTCAGATGACACCTTCTATATCCCTAGATTAACAAAAAATTAAACAGAAGCCCCCACCCTAGAGGACCCAGATTTACTTTAGAGTTAGGCTCAGTATAATGAAGTGGTAACCTGACTGGTGGTGGCTTTTTGGGCACTCTGGACAATGCTCCCTATAAGGGCTAAAATGCCCCCAGGGAATAGCAGAGCCCTGCCCCATATTTCTTGCTTTCATTTTCTATCCAGTGTATTCAGGGAATAAACCTGCTTTTGAAGTTTTAAAGTTAATTATTTGATAATTACCTCTACCCACACAACTCAAATTCTGACTATATATATTCAAATGTTAAAAAAGGCATTTTAAGTGCCTCCTGTGAAGATATAAAGTTTGTTTTTTCTTGTTGGTTATGTTCTCAGTACCACTTAAACACCATTTTCAGGTTTTCTTTTTCCTATGGCATCAAAATTGGAGACATATAGACTGACAATAATATACTAAAAGTTACACAAGAAGAATTTAAAAGTTTGATTTCCTCTTATAATGCTGAAGGCAGGTATCAGTTTTCTTTAATTTTAGTTTTTAATTTTTTTTCCTACTAACAATTTTTATTATATTATTATTGATTAATTTTTTGGGAGACAGAGTCTCACTGAGTGCCATGGTGTCATATCTCACAGCAACCTCCAACTGGGCTCAAGTGATCCTCTTGCCTCAGCCTCCTGAATAGCTGGGACTACAGGCACTAGCCATAACACCTGGCTAGTTT